CCCAGGCATCCTGGTCCCTGGGCATCCCAATCCCAGGCATCCTGGTCGCTGGGTGTCCCCTGGAGCACTGGAGAGCAGAGAGGCCGTGGGAGCTCGGCGGGGCCGGCGGCAGGAGCGGCTCTGTCCAGGGTGCTGACGGGCGAGGAGCAGCAGCCCGGCCGTGCCCAGGACTGGGATCGTGCTGTGCCCCTTGGGAACCGTTACCTGTATCCCTGGTGCACACACAGTCAAGAACTTGTGTGGAGTTTTGGGTATAAAACTGTTCTTGGTTACAGAAATCAGTGGCCTTGGGGCTTTTAAGGGGTAGCAGAATATACAAGTTAACAGCAGGACTAGCACGGCAACGAGAAACCCGTCAGACCCTTTAAATTAGAGTGTCTTTTGAGCAGTACTTTGTCCTTGAGGTGGTTGCAAGGGCTTGTATGTTTTACAGTTTGATGATAAAACCCACTTTATCCAAGAATATACCCACTTCCCTGTAATCATGTTGAAACTATCCACTGGCTTTTGGTGCACAAGTGATGAAAGGAGGTGTTGTTCGGTTGTTGGATGCATCAGGAAGATGTTTGTTCATCAAATCAATGCATCTTTAAAATAGTGGCATTCAGTTCATCAAGTTGTCTCATATCTCTTGGTTTAGTGGCATTTACATATGTTTTAAATGGTCTTTGTAGCAAAACTTAATAGCAATGATGGCTAAAAGCTGGAAAATGTTGTATCTAAAATGTTCCTTAATCTTAAAGGATTTCCTTTCCAATTTTCCCCAAGATATAAATCTTACCATTACATTTGATGAAAGGTTTAGGTTTTTTCTTAAAAAAACAGTAACACTGAAGAAGTCTTAAAGTAAATTGTTAGTTTAGAAAGTCTGCTATTAGAAACTTGTATCTGTGTAAAAATGCAGAATGCCAGAAAAAATGATTTAAAAAGTTTTTAGTTAATGAGACTTGATTATGAGATGCTGACTGTGAGGCTGTTTGAAAACTTAGAAATCAGTTAATGGTATTTGTATTCCACATTAATGTGGACTTTCTTCTTCATCTATAAATATTCATCTATCTGAAGAATTGTAGTTAGACACATACCAGTACAATTGCTGTGCTATAATTAAGGTGGATACTGTTCTGTGCAAGTGTGCACCATTGGTGTGTCTTGTAAGTGCTACCTGAGACAAAAATGTTAATTTCTGATTATTAATCAGCTGGTTAATTTTTACATACTTTTTTTGTCTTAGCTGGAGATACAGACGATCCTCCAAGAATTACTCAAAATCCTGTCATTAATGGGAATGTAGCGATGGCTGATGGACATAACAACACTGAAGAAGACATGGAAGATGGTAAGTAAACTTGATAAAGACATGGTTTGTTTGGCTTCTTTATTGTTACGGTTTTGAGGAGAAAATGGTCCATATCTTACCTGTGTCCTCTCAACTGCAGCTCATTAAAAAAATGAAACCCTCTGTAGTTGTGGCTGCTGGTTTTCTGTACAGGCATCCTTTTAACACACTGTACAATAGGATTAGACTTCTGAGGGCTTGGGATTTTTTCCTCATACTCTTTCTAGGTACTCATTTTAAAATTGCCCAGAGTGATACTGTCCATTGTTATGTTTTGTGATCCATCCCTTTAAACTGCTGCAGCTGGGGCTTTGCTGAATAGTGACAGTTACACAATTCCTTCAGGATGTTTGGAATCCTTATCTGTCCTGCTCTCTTGTCAGGTGGCAGCTGTGCTCTGCTTTTGTCTTTGTATGGTAAGTCAGTGGTAACTATTCCATTGATGAACATCTTTTCCCCTCAATTCTGATGCCCTTTTACTTGCAGATGTAAAGGAAGAAATAAGTATTGATGTCCTGTTAATAAAAGGGGAGGTGTGTTTTTGGAGTCTTTTTGTTGGTCCATTAAATGAAAAAAAAAGGGTGTACAGTCTTTTTCTGTTACAAAAGATCAGAAAATTATAAGTAGATGTGTCTGGCTTTATTTAAAGAAAGGTAAAAAATTTTTAACTCACTGAAGTCTGTTAAGTTTAGTGAGGAAAATGTGCAGTGATACTTCTTTTCTTAGGAGTGGATATGGGCAGGGACTGCTCATTTTGAGGAACTAAATAAAATGGAGTTGGGAGAAGGGGGACAGGATATGAGTGGGATTTGTTCCACTCTAATTTCATGTTCCATGCTGTCTTGTGAGATACATTCAGGACTGGGCATAAGCATTTAGTTAGATTTGTGCAAAAATGTTGAGTGATCTTTTGAGAAAAATCAGTGTTTAAGGTTGAAGGTCAAAAAAGTGCTTCCTTTCTTGTACTGAAGAAACATAGAATACTGATAGAAGATAGTAATGTTCATGAAGAGAATAGGGTTTAAATTCAGGACAAAAGCATCTCATGGTTGAATCTCCTCTGTATCATTGGCAAAGATAAAGTTTCCTATAATCAGAGTCTCACAATAAAATAAAAATGAGGTCTGCTTTTAACCTGTGCATTTTATTTGTGTGATTACTTGATCTCATTCAGAGGGCTTTGATTTATTACTCAGAGTAACTAGCTGAGAGTGAAACAGGGAATTCTGTTCTTATCAAAAGCTTTTATAAAAGATGTTAAATGTCTTTGTCAGGCCATGGTATTTGGAGGGTGAATAGAGAAGATCATGTGAGTTAACACTGACTGGCAAGAACAGCTCTGTTTAGTTTATGTTTAGTAGTGGTGTTTATAGATAGAAAGCCTGATAATGTTTGCTCTTGATACAACCAGTACATAACACACTGGTCAGTTAGTAAAAGAATTTGTCCACTAGTTGGTCTGTGTATACTTGTACAAATTAGGCAAAGGGAACTTAGGCTGCACAAACAGCTGAGGAAACCCAGGCTATATCAAGGCTGACAGGTAATCAGACACACAGCTCTTCATTCAGAATAGTGTGGACTTTTTAACCAAAAAACTGCCGTCAAGCAGTTTCTGTCAGCTGCCAACTGACTCAGAACTGGCTATGAAGGTAGGGAGAAGTATCTGAAGGTATTTGACAAAAGGCTTGTGAAAGCTTCCCATGCCTTGGTGGAATTTCAGCCTGGTGAGGAGCTTTGGCCCACTCTGCTGGTTTCTGTGATCCAGCTGGAAGCACTGACACACATAGAAAGTAGAGCTGTTGAAAAAACATTCCTGAAGACTTGCATCACGTAAGTGGATGATGCCTCTTTTCCAAGTCCTGTAAATCAGATTAGTTGCTTGCTGTTGCATTATTTACACACCAGTGCAGTTGCTCTCTTGCTGTTTGTTCTCTTGCTAACCTGGTTTGCAGCATGATGTGTGTGTGTAATGGACAGCTCATTCAGAAGATAGGAAAAAATGAGAGACAGGGGCTTCTCTGATAAATATACAGTTTTCCTTTGCTGTTATTCCTAGCAAGGGGCATCAATCTGAGCTGATACAGAATGCATAAAGAGAATTTAGATACCTCTTGAGTGAAATTAGTGAATTTAATGGTTCCTGCGAAAGAGGTGAGCAGGAAGATGAAAGGTTGATGCTTCCAGCTGGATCATAGAAACCAGCTTTCTGATGATTTTCTGAGTTCAAGAAATGTGGAGGTGATTTTTGTTATTCCAGCTTAGCACATAAAGAAATGACTGATAAGACCAGGGGGAAAAAAAAGTGCAGCTCTCATCCCCTTTGCTTGGGAACCAGCCACAGGCATTGTGAGGCACAGGGAATGGGGCAGCACAGACCACCAGCAGGACTTTGAGATAAGGCTGTGTTCTCTCAAGCACTCTGACTAGTACCTGTTGTTGCTCTGTATGATGTCTTAGCAATTAAAAAGAACCAGCTGAAGGAGTGTAGTGTGCTTTGTACAGAGAATACCTTAATGAACCAGGCTTTGTGAGCTGGCATAGCGGCTCCTGCAACTAATGTAAAAAATATTAAAAACAAGGTTCTGATCGAATTTTGTTTGCAAGTGCATCAGTATTCAAAACAGCACACAGAATAAATTCTCTTAGAAGTTAAAGTTCAAACAGAAGGTCCCAAACTAAACATAAACTCAGAGCTTTGCAATTACCTCCTGAAGTCTCATTTCTGTGAAGAATCACGGAGGCTAGGAGACTTTCAGAAGCATCAGTCTTAACCATGTGCTGGTATTGCATCCAGTATTTGGATCATTATTAAAATATTCATAGAATATTCAACCAGTTTCCTCATTAATAATTCAGGTTCAGAATATTTTAATAACCTCAGTGCACTTTAAATAAAGCAAAATTTACTAATAGAATAAAGAAATCTGCTTTTCTCAAATGTATAAACATTTAAATAGGTACTTCCACCTTAAAATGGATCATATTCAGTATTTGGCTCTCTGATTTGCAGGATCTTTGTTGTATCAAGGTGCTGATTGTGGCATTCATCTCATCAATGAAAAAATCTTTTCCATGTAGCAGATACAATCTGTTGCATGTAACTTCTCCAACACTGTCAGCTGAGTCTGTTCTATTTACCTTGTGTTCAGCATCATGTGTTGTATTTGTAGTTCAGGGATTTATAGGAGTCTTACTTGCCAGTCACTACTAAATTATCCTCCTGCCAATTGCAGTCTTTTACTGGAAGCTGGTGGACATGTTTGTGATGGTGAAAAAGGGTTTTATTTATTGATGTACTCAGAATAATTGTCACATTTGCTGTGTAAACTGCAGTTTTTAATATAATTCATGTTTTAATCGATTATACTTGCTAAAAAACTGGGCTTTCTGGAAGGAAAGGAAAGTTGTTATTTTTAAATAACAACTTGTTTTAGGGTTGACCTGTGTTTTTGTAGAGTAGTTACTAGTGATTGCTCAAATATTCTACAGAGAAGAGTGTTCTCATGCACAGGCTTTCCTGAAAAGAAATCAAGAAATAGAGGCAAACTTTCTCTGAAGCATCTGCAGATGCTGCGTGGGCTGTGTTTTTTAGCTGACACTGTAGCAGCACTGCTGCATCGTGTTGCTGAAGTGCTCTGAAAGCTGCATCAAAGGAGGCAGAAACCAAACTTGGCTCGTTGTTTGAAGGCTTAGACTGAGCCCAGAAGCACTGATCTGACTGTGAGTAGGGAGGAGGACTTGAGCTGGTTTGAGAGACGTGTGATGGAAGGCTGATTTTTAAATTGTTAAGCATGTTACAGATTTGTTTTATCCTGCCTGCAAATCAAGTTTTAGAGTGTACAGCTCCTCTGGCTGCAACTTGCCTGGCTTTTGGTTGTAAGCATCCAGCTCTCTACACTGTCAACAGGCAGTGAGTAGTGAAAATGGGTAGAGAACCGTTTTTAAGTGATAGACTAACAGTTAACTGCACTTACATGTAGGGGAAAAAGGACAAAGGAATCCTTTGAGCTCTTGTGTCACTGAGGAAGCTGACAGTGCAGGGTGACAAGGTCGTTGCAGGTGTGGAGGGGAGAGGAAGCTGGTTTGGGCTGTAGTATTGTCAAGAGACAGTTGGGAGTGCTTATGGCTGTCAGACCATACACAAATTAGATCAACGGGGAGGCTGTTCAGAAGTAGGACAACTGCTTGAAAACTGTTTAGCAAGGGAGAAGAACGAAATCTGTCAAAGTTCCCTGGCAGTTGTGGATAGAACTTGTTAATTTTCTGTATTGAAATGTATAATCTTTACCCTGTTGCATGTTGTAATGAAGAGTGTTTCATTTTTTAAGTAAGGTATCAACGAGGACTCACCTGTTTATTTAAAAATGGTTCAACACTGTCTCTGGTGCTGAGTGAACCGCTGCTGCCCGTGCACAGAAGGAACACATTTGTTGTCTAGTGTGTGCCTTGTCAGAATTTCCTGATCAGATTTCTGGCTGGTGTCGTTGTACCTCGGTGCTTTTTGATTTCAGGTGTCACTGCACATGTGACATCAGTTCTGCATCCCCGTGGGTGGTGTGAGAACAGCAGTGACCAGGGGTACTCCCTGGCCCTCTGTGCTGCTGGAGCCTCCTCACACCCAGTAACAAACCAAACCATGTCACACCAGTGTCAGGCTGGAGCCATGGAGAAGGAGTGTCTTGTGCATCCTTGAGCTGCAGAACTGTTGGGATAAGTTGCAGTTACTCCTTCCCTGTGTGCAGTATGAGGCTTGTCACAATAAGGAGAGCCCAGCCTTGCAGAGCCCAGCCTTGTGCCTTGTTGAAGCTGTCACAGTCTCCAGCACCCTGTTATAGCTGTGTACAACAGAAGCACAACAGATTGTGGTATATGAAGAACTGGCTATGTGGGAAGAAGGAGAAATTAATTGTGTGTGTCAAAATAAACTTTAAAAAAAAAAAAGTGTCTTGTTTAACTTTTAGACCGCTAAAAATCTCTAAGGCTTTGAATACCACAGAGAATACAGGACCCTACTCTTGAACTGTTCTTCAGCAAACTGGTATGAGATTTGAAAAAAAATCCAACAGCCAGGCTATGGGGTTCATCGTTTTGAAAATACACTGTTGCAAGCCAAAAACAACTAAATGATGACTTGGTATCAACAGGGCATTTGAACAGATTGTGAAAGTCCTTTGTGCATGTGGATTCATGCAGGGAGCTGACTTAAACTGTGCTGTGGAGATGCTACTCAAGAAGAGTTAAGAGTGGGCTGTGATTTAGTTGTAAAGCATTTGATGTCTCTGTCTTGCTGCACCCGCTGCTTTAGAAGAAACTTGAGTGGTAACAAATTGTAGTGCTGAAGAAGTATTTAAGGAAAGAGTGTACAAAAGGAATGTGTCTTTCAGGGCTCTGTGTGCCTGAATTGTGTCGCAGTGTTTTTCAAAATGAAAAAATTGAAACTTAAGTAATAAAGTAGTCCAGTCTCTCTCTGGGATGGGGATGTCTTTGTTGCTTCCAATATCCCACTACATGAAACATGCTTACATTGCATGATTTTTGAAAAAGGCATTTTTGAGTGAAAACATCAGGTTTTTTCCAATAATTTTGTGGATGTGTTACAGATACAAGTTGGCGATCAGAAGCAACATTTCAGTTTACAGTCGAACGCTTCAACAGATTGAGCGAGTCAGTTCTCAGTCCTCCCTGCTTTGTACGGAATTTGCCATGGAAAATCATGGTTATGCCACGACTCTACCCGGACAGACCACACCAAAAAAGTGTAGGATTCTTCCTTCAGTGCAATGCTGAATCCGATTCCACGTAAGACCCTTTTCATTACTGCACAAGTCCTCACTTGACACTGGTTAATCTATTGCAAGAAATACAGACATGCACAAAAAATATTTCACCTAGCTTTCTGCAACAGGAAAGAATACCTGCAAGGGTGTGAGTCCCCTTTCCTCCTCACCTTTCTGAATCTCAAAGCCTAAGAGTAATCCCCTCTTTAGGATGAGCTGAAAGTACCTTGTGTAACTAGAAGTTTGTGGTAGAATTTAGATACATTTCTGTTTAACTGCTGGGGGGAAGTCCTTGACTGACAGTTGTGTTGGCATAGGAAGTGTTCTGAGTTTGTTTCAATTGGAAGTGGTACTGGAGCTCCTCTAACCTTATATATAAATCCTGCCCTGTGAAGTGTGTGAGCAGGTAGCTGGTACCACTGGAGGCACAGCAGGGGATGAAAGTGGAGTTCATCCCTCATCAAGAGAGATATGAACACATATGTGTTCTTGGAGTCCTGCATGCAAATCAGAATTGGTTATCTTTGAACACTTTTGTAAGTAATACAAAAATTTTAAAAGATAATTACAAATTTCTGGGACATTCCTGCAGCTTCTCCTGCCAGAGTGCAGACTCCACAGGTGTCCTTTCCAACAGGGTAACTCCATTCTTGTACCAGATCTCACAAAGCTTGTTGTTCAATCTGAATAACAGGTTACTCTTCTTCATCAGTTTTGTCATTCAGAGGGTGAGTGGTTAGTGCAGGACGTAAAGAAAAAGGTTGGAAGTGTATTAACAAGTTGCAGGAGAAGTGATTCATGTGCAAGCAGTCACAGTAAAAGGATAATGTGATCTCTGAAAGTACCAACCAAGGTGCAGCTGGTGGAGCTAAACAAGCAGTAATGCCACTGCATGAGGCGGTGACAAGACCTTGTCTGAGCTGACATTCAGACTGATTGTCTTGCACAAGTAGGGTGGTTTTGAACAGGAGTGGTCATAAAGAAGTGCTGCTGAGACAATTGGTGTTGGGGAGTTTATCTTGTGGGAAGGAGGGTAGAACCACCCCCTCCCTTCCTTAGCCAGAGGCAGAGATACCACACTCTGTAGACACCAGGAGCACTTTGAGTTGGCTCATCCATCTGTGTTAAAGCAGATCAGAAGTAGCTCACCTCTGAGATCAGGCAGCTCTTCAGCCTCTCTTACCTGCAATTGCCTGACAGTACTTTATTAACAACGCTGTTGCCCTAAGAACAATTTCCATTCTGAGTTCACATTCATAATGTGGCTTCAGAAAGCCCCAGAGGTTCATGCCCTCAATAGCAATTAACCAAGTCTTAACATCTAAAAAGGAAAAAAAAATTACCGTGTGTGAAAGTAATGTACCAAAAATCCCTAACAAAAAAATTATGCTAATAACTATAATAAGCTTGGTTTGGAATGAGTTTCAAGTGTTTCTTCTGTATTTATAGGTCATGGTCCTGTCATGCACAAGCAGTTCTCAAGATAATAAACTACAAGGATGATGAAAAATCATTCAGTCGTCGTATTAGTCACTTGTTCTTTCATAAGGAGAATGACTGGGGCTTTTCCAACTTCATGGCCTGGAGTGTAAGTAATTGGACATGTATTAATCTATTGCTAGATAGGAGCAGTTTTGTACTTGTACTCCTGCATACTGAGATGCCAATTAGAAAAGGGTGTTTTTCCCAAACTGATATTTTTTCTATCACTGCTGTGGATTGCTTTTCAATTTCTTAAAAATTCCTGTACTAAATTTTTGTAGAGTGCTTTTACTTATGTTGTAATTTAAATACTCCCTCATTGTTTTCTGCATATCTGTGTTTGTTTCCACTATGTGATAGTCAGTGGCATTCTGAAGCAACATAAATTTGTTTGCATATCCAGGTGTTCTCTGTATGTGTGTATGGATATTTAATGCCCTGGTCATACTACTATGGTTTATCTTGAATTGTGACAGCTTTTTAAGCATTTGCAAAGGTTCTGGAGTATTATCCAGAAGCAGCAGAACATTTGATTACCAACTCTTGTACCATTGAAAACTGAAAAACTACTGCAAAGTCTTAAAAGGCAGGAACAAGTTTCCTGTATTGAGAGACTAAAAAAGAATTAAAATATATTAAGCTGAAAAACAGCTGCTTTGGTGTTTTCTTCAGTTTTTCTTCTTTAATTTATTATTTTCTTATTTAATTTATTATTACTGATAGCTCAGCCTTGGAAACTAGAAAGTGATGTCTTAACTGGATGCTTCACTACAGTCATGTTGCAAACTGCACTTTTCATGTTCCTGTGTCATTCCTGTTTTACAGGAAGTTACTGATCCTGAAAAAGGCTTTATAGAAGAGGACAAAGTTACTTTTGAAGTCTATGTTCAAGCAGATGCTCCACATGGAGTGGCGTAAGTATCTTTAATTAAAAACAAACAAGTAAAATTCTTAATTCTAATATTTTTATGTTACTTGAGATTGTTCAAGTATTTTGTGTTACTGCCATTTGCAGCTCTCGTCAGCCATTCTCACTTTATCACTTCTAATTGATGAATTCTCACACGGCAATATTTTTATAGTCACATGGAGATTTTTGTATAGCTTAAATTTGTTTGCGTGAGTCAGCATAATGTTGTGGAACCTCAACATCTGTGTGAGTTGATTTCTGGTTTAACACCTCTGCAGTTCTGACCTCAGCATTTGTCATCTTGGAGCTGATGCAGTGAAGTGGCTTTGCTGTCTAACTTGCCTTGGTTTACAGTTGCTGTAAAACTTCTCCATCTGAGTTGTTCTACTTTGTGGCACTTGGGATCAAAGTGGTTGTACTGAAGTGGAGACTTGCCCTTAAAAGTGCAGCTCTGGGTTCCAGTACACTTGCATAGTACATAATTTTTCTCCCATATAGGACACATTTAAAAAGAAAAGCTAGCAAAATCACAAAGCATTTGATTGCAAAGACTGTTGTGAAGGCAGTAGTGAAGTGTAGTTTATTTGAACCTTCAGTAACAGTGAAGAGTAGCTGAGATCTGCCAGCAGCACTGCTTGAGAACAAATGCCCTTTATTATAGTTAATATGGAACTGTCTTGTTTTAACCACTAACTGTTTCCCAGGTGGGATTCAAAGAAGCACACAGGATATGTTGGCTTAAAGAACCAGGGAGCAACTTGTTACATGAACAGTTTGTTACAGACTTTATTTTTCACCAATCAGCTACGAAAGGTAAGTAACCTGTGAAAGAACACGAGTTTGCTAATTGCAATAACCAATGTTAGAAGTGTTTTAGAACAGAGCAGTGTGTTCCTTTATCCTCTTAGAAGAGTTGGACTTACGTGGTGATGCACATCTTGCTGGAGGCTGAGTAGTTTGTGGAACATAAGATGTTGTCTTCTGCTGAAGACCTGAGCTCAGGGGGTGTTTCTTTGGCTGCATTGCATGTTAATGTTGGTAGGAATTGCTGGGGGGGAGGCAAAGGGGATGACTCTACATCTTGCAGATGAAAGTTGGAAGTAATTTCCGTTTTTGAAAGAGTTAAAAATAGGGCAGTCAATTATGGCTTCTGAGCCTGTAAACAAAGTAAAAAGATACACATGCACAACATTTGTTCTGTCTTGTAATTTATATTATGTGGCTGAATTTTCTGTTATTATGGTTAACTCTTTGTAGTGATGGGAAACATTGTAGCTTCAGTAGTTTAAACAACTTAATTTTATGTTTGCTGTATTGATATTTTTTATTTACAATAATTCCTTTGCAGGAAAGAACTTCTTTAAATATTGTTGTAATAAATATCCAAACCCAGGATAAAATATGGTAGATAATATGTCACTTTAAAACAGTGCAGTACCCTTAATGGGATTAAAAACAGAAGTGATGACTTGATATTGGAGATGGTTATCTAGAAGAGAGGATATACTTGGTAAAAAAAGTAACTCAGCACTATTTAGTTTAGTGGAATGTCCTATTGATCCTAATTCATTGTCTACCCATTTCTGCATTTACTGTATGTCTCTTAGCCTAAGCAGAACAGTTCATTTTCACTTTCTCTTGTGTAGAGTAGTTGTTACCTTTCAATTAAACTTTCTTTTCCCTTTTTAATGTACTTGTTTTCCATTGTCTTCAGTTTCCCACCATCTTATTACTTATATCACTGTGGCCTGTAAGTGTCCCAGTTGGCATTTCTTTTTTCTCTTTTGCAATGTACTCTTTGCTCTGAAAAAGCACATCAAACTCCAGTAGACTGTAGCTGAGATGTTACTAATGCCATGGACAAGAAATAAATACCTGACTTGTTTTACATGATACACCTGTTTCTTTTTTGCAGGAGGTATAATTCACTAGTTCAACTCTTCATTCATTATAATTCCTGTTCTTTTTGCTCAGCTCATAACTCATAATGTTTGTACATTTTATGTTTTTGGTTGGACAACTTCACTTTGCTATTGAGAGAAAAAAGTATTTTTGTAATGACTCTGTCGAATCCAATTGAGCAGTTTGTTTCAAGACTCTCTTGTAGTCAGTAAATCAATATGTACCATGAAATGATCTTGTTCTGTGAAGAAGAAATGCTTTTTGTGATACAGATTTGTTTCAACTGAACTAACCTTTTCAAGCATTGCCCTGCACTTCTCCCTCAGCCCCAAAATAAATAGCAGCTTTTAGGAGGTGTTAATATCTGGATAGTAGCCATATGAGAAAACTTGATTTACTAGCTGGTAGCTGCAGCTTCCTTTCTGGAAATGGTCCTGAACATCAGCTGGAATGCCACTGGTACAGGTCAGGAAGAATCAGTAGTTGTCTTGTCTGAAAAAAGTACTTTTCACAACACTTTTTTGTTTTCACTTTGAACAAACTTGTTCCTCTTAAAAACCGAGTAAAATAAAACATGTAGCATCCTTGATTTGCTTCTCACCATATCCATAATTTCTGTGAATCCTTCTTACTCAGAAGAGATAAGGATTTCTATTGCTGTTAGTTAGAGCTTTGTTCCCAGAGAAGCTGCTGTCAGGAGCAGAGCTGGGGAAGCAAAGAACAATAGCAAAGGCAAACAGGTACCTATGGAAAGGCAGACCCTGGGGAAGTGTGGGGGAGGATTGATGGAGAGGTCCTTTCTTCTTTGCTCTGCCTCCAGACAACAGATGGGAGGTTCTTGGGTATTTGAAGTGAGACCTCCCTTTTAAGCTACCAAGCAGCTTCAGAGGTAGAGAATAAAGCCAAGGAACTCTCTTCTGAGCATATCTTTGTCTGTGACCAGTGAATATGTGCTTAACTGTAGTCCAGGTAGGCAAGGAGCAGTAGTAATTTCCCAGATGGGTCCAGGTTTGATCTTGAGTTGTCCCAGAACTGTCATCAGTGCTTCCAGCCCATCAGTACTTGTGGCTGCTTCCAGTCCATTTTGAAACTTTTTGCTGGTTCCCTTGAAAAATTCCCTACAATTCATGAGAACATTACAGGATGTTCATATAACTACACTAAAATTATAAATCTTGGTCCAGTGCATTTCTCCCTGATCTGACTCTCCTCAAGTTACCCAGTATATTTCCCCTAACCTTGGAATTTCATGCACAGTATTTTCTTCCCTTCCTCAAGGAATTCTTGGCTTGAAGCAATGTGTTCAAGGTTATCTGTAGCATCCTTTCACTATGTAAATATCTAAAATTTTTCTCATATCTGTCTGTTGCATATAACCCCTGCCTATGCATGTCCCTATTCCTCTTTTGTGTTCGTTTCCTGAGGGAGCTTCTCAGATGTTAAATAGGAGAGTCTGCTTTTTTAAATGGATCAGAATGCCTCACTTCTTGATCTTGAGGTCAAGCTTTCAGAATTTGGAAGGATAAGGCATAAAAATAAGGGTTTGTAGAGGATCATATTTGAAAAGTGGTTTGTTTTAGTGTGGAGAAACTACTCTAAACTTAGAGAAATGAGCTTCAATACCACCTGTATGCACAAACAGGATGGAGAACCAAGGAAAACTGAGTTAAATGCCTGGTTTGGATTAACACACGTAGAATTTCAGAAGAAATAAAACCGATGTTTTTATTCAGTGGCAGCTGGAATATAAGTAAATTGTGAATGACTATTTTGATTATTACTTGAGAGATATAGGAAAGGAATTAATTGTCCAGATGGTATATGAGGAAAACAAACAAGAACTAAATGTAAAGGATTTGGTTAATTGTCAAGGTATTCTTAACTCCAATTTATGCTTTTTTGATGGAAGAGTCAAACACAGGTTTGACTTTTAGCCTACTGTAGGTTTAGCATTTTAATATTTATTTATTTAAAATGTGTCAGCACTGACTGTATTTGTAGTATATATTTAGTTTTTAAAAAGCATTTATAAGATGTTAAAAAAGTTAATAGGGGTTGATTATAGAGATTTGGAAGATTTAAGATGGTCATTCAAACTTCTGCTTCTACCTTTAGCCAATGACACCCACTCATAAAAGGGTTCATAAACTGGGGGCAGGAAGGGGTTTTAAGTTAACTCTGTTGAGATGCTGACTTGTTTTGATGTTCATATTTCAAAGCAAGAAATTAACTTTACTTGTAAAATCAAAGGTGTAATTCTAGCTATTCATATTTAGAGTTTGCCCAGATCACTGTGTTGAACTGCAACTCTGCATTTGGATGATAAAAATATAGCAATTGAAAATTATTTGCTTTTTTAGCTTCTTAGAATTGTTCTGAAATTCAGTGTTCTGACCTTAGGAAAGAAATTTTCATAATCAACGTGGTCCAGCCTTCCAGTAGGATGTGTGGAGAGGTTGTGGGATCTCCATTGCTGGAGATGCTCAGAATTCAGCTGGGTCTGATCCTGAGCAACTCGACCCAGCTTTGAGTTTGGCACCTCTATGGGCAGGAGCAGAGTTCAGAACCTGCAGAGTTCTCTTCCAGACTGGATCACTATAAACTCTTAAAGCAGTCTTAATTCATTAGAAAAGTTTAAGGATTATTGAGTTTTGACAGTTAAAACCCATTGCTGGTTATAAAATTGGAGTTTTCTTCAATTTATAAAATTTATAAAAGCAGGATAAGTTGGAGGTGCTGCACCCCTCTGGCATCCAGGCTAAGGCACAAACATAGGGAGAGCCACTGAGTTCCAGTTCAGCACTTCACTCACAGAAAGGGATCATTCCCTTCTGTTTCACAAGCAAAAATTCGGGTGGCAGTTTTTCTGTGTTTTAACAGGTTATTTTCTCATATGCTACTTAATACTGGAGTCCTTTTAGTTTCATTTATTGTTACCTAATCTCCTTCCAGGGTTGTCTGTTTTCTTTTTATGTCTATGCTTCTTAAATGAACATCTCCCTGTAAATACCTTTTGTTTGCCCTTCCTTTTCCCTACATATGTAGGGAACATACGATGTACACTTTTAAAAAAGTAAATCTCATTTCAGTGCCTGTTGAACTCTCCTAATCCTTGTTTGTTCTGTTTGTGTAATTTCTTTGTTCTCAATCCTTCCTAGATCATTATAATCAGTGAATTGAACTGTTAAGCTGTTTATTTGCTGGACAGTGATGACGTTAAGTAGAAATGAATGAATGTGTCAGGAAATCTCAAAGCTTCCTCTAACATCTTTCCCCATGTGGACCATTTCTGTTGTCATTCACTTGTTGCCCTTTATGGTTTCATGTGGTTGCTTTTTCACAAAACAAGTTATTTTCAAAAGCCTGTAGTATTGACCAGTATATCTGTTCCTACCGTGACGATTGCGTGGATAAACCAGGCGTGATAACTTGTTTGAAGGTGTTAAATGCTTTAGTGCATTTACTGTTCTAGGGTGGAATAAGGGAACCATTTAGATAAAATAACCATGAATGGAATCTGTTGTTCACATCTTTCTAACCACTGTGCTCTAAAAAGAGTCATTCCAGACAATTAACGTTTTTACACTACAGCACAAGATTTTTTTCATGCTGTTTTGAAGTGATGATTAAATTGAGTTCTGTGAAGGAAGTCACTGAAGAGGAAAGAATGCATTAAACAATATGAGCAATAAACTTTTCCTTAGATACTAATTGAACTAAATGCTTTTTCAGGCTGTGTACATGATGCCCACAGAAGGAGATGATTCATCCAAAAGTGTTCCTTTAGCATTGCAAAGAGTGTTTTATGAGCTGCAACATAGTGACAAACCAGTTGGAACTAAAAAGTTAACAAAATCGTTTGGGTAAGTTTCAGAAATTGTGGCTATTTATTGGATTTTTACAGGCTTTATAAAGCTTTTCTTTAAAAAGACTCTACTTAAATTAGGTTATTTTTAGAGAGGCACTGAGAAGTCTTAATATAACAATGTTAATTGTTAACTTTTCGTAGTTTACTTGGATAGGTTTTTATTTATAGTCAGTACTAAAGACAACTGATCCAAAAGTCAGATTTTTTGGAAAGGGGAATGGTACACAAACACAGCTGTTAGTAGCAGGGTTATCATTTACCTATTACCTGAAAATTTTGTGATGCATTTGGCTTAGGTAGAATTCAGAGCAAAATAGTTATTGAAATATTGCAGTTGATGTATTCTTAATGTCTTTTAAAAAATTAATTCTGTTTAAATGTAGGGAATAGCAGTAATTTTCATTTCCATGTGAGTTCTGCGTTGAGGGCTGCTGTAACATGATTTAGAACCGTGTAATGCTGTGTTCTGTTTGGTGATTTAAAGCTTAACAGGAGTATCAGCTGCATGAAGTAAAGGTGTTGGAGCACACAGAGAGTAATTCTTTGCATTTCCTTTTTCTAGCACCCTCTTTTTCCCCAGAGAACATCCACAAAAGGGCTTACTTCTTATTTTCTTTTTTGCCCAGTATCCAGTTGACTGCCTGGTATTTTTTTCCAGTCTGTTCATATTTCTTGTGAGATGGTGTTAGAGGGTGTAATTGTAAATCTGGAGTATCTAGACATAGGATTATACAATACAGCTACATTGAGGGTGGGTTTTTTGTGTGTTTTACGAGTATGATGTTTTAGTTGAGCACAAGTTAGGACAGAAAGATTATGATTAGCATAACCTTTACAAGCCTTCTCTTTGCATGTCCTGTAAGCGTGGAGTAGGATTTAATTAAAATCTGTTCTAAAATACTGTATTGTGCATTCCTTTGTTTCACTGTATCAGTAGACTAGTCCTGTTGTAATATTGACAAGGACTTTTTTATTTAAAAACACGTGAGGAAGTTTATATCCACACAGCTACTGTTCATCCTGCATCTACTGCTAACCCTTGTAGTGGTGGTCTGTCCTAATAAAACCTGTGTCTTTGCAGCCTCTACTTTTCACCTTTTGGGGGAAGTTTAAAATGAAATCAGTAACCTCAGTGTTTTATGTTTATCTGGCCATACTCTCTTCCTGCTAAGCACACTGTATATTTAGGTTATCAGTGCTCCTGCTGTTCTGTTACATGGAAAGGACTTGGTGAAAGTGTAAATATTTCATCTTGAATTAAGATCCCAGCTGTGTCATCTTTAGGAGCATGAAGAGACACCTTTCCCGAGGGTGTTTCAGATGCTTAATTTTGTATCTGAGAACAAGGTTTTAAAAATGTGTTCATGCCTGCTTTCATTTTTGGGAAGGAATTTTTGAATGTGTTTCAAGATCTGGGTTTCCCCCTTCCCTCACCATGGAATCAGGGAGGGGTGTCTGACCTTGTGAGCCCTACCTAGGTGCTGTTTAGAGCATTACTTTTTAGTGGGTGTTGTGAGTTTCTAACTGATTTTGGCTTCTTTCAGTAGAAACTGATGGCATGTCTGAAGGAGCCCTTTTAATCCTAATTTTAGTATGTAACCTTTTTTTTGTTTTGTCCTTTAAACTGGTTAGTATTTCAAGCCTAGGGAGTCAGGCCATTATTTTCCCTTTTTAATTATCTAACAGGTCACTTCATTCAGCTTTTTAAAGTGTGGACCCCCACACAGTTGTTGGCACAATTTTGAGATGAGTGTGCTGCCGTGTGACAATGGGGGTGAGTCACAGAGAGGAGAGTGGGAGGGAAGATAAAGTCAGTGGTGCTCCTGATCACCCCTGTGCTGGTGACTTCAGGGCTGGGGTGGAACATCAGGGTGAAGCTGGATACTTCAGTCAACAGGGCTTATTTCATATAGTTGGGAAAGGGGACCGCTGCAAAAAGAGTTGTCAGAGACTTAGAAAGCGTTCTGGAGTTGAAGAGCTCACAGGAGAAAGTATTTCATGCTGGAACTAGAAACATTTCATGTTTCTTGTTTCATTGAAGGCAGTGGTGCTGAGACGCTTTGTTGCACTGTGCCCCTTGGCTCTGAGGCATTTAGAGACTGCTGCTCTCACCCTTGCTTTTACATGTGTGTTTGCACATGGGCAGTTCAGAAAGCTGAAGGCCTCCCTGGAGTTACTGTGTGCCCAGGATTAACTGTTTAGATGAGCACAAAGGAGCCAGTCTTTCCTGTAAATCCATTTGCTTCCTTTCATGTGCTGAAATAATCCCAGAACGCTACTTGACTGCACCTGAAGGGCCCTCAGAAGAGAGGCAGCTAGAAACACGCTCTGCAAGCTATTCTGACAGCATTGAATTTGCTCCCAGGTTTTTTCTTCAAGAGTTTTTTTTGGCATGAACTGAGGCCAGGTTGGAGACTGGGTGAATTCTGCTACCTCTCCAGCTGGCTCTGTCTGCCCTCCCTGTCCCAGTCCCACAGAGGAGAAGGCAGGTGGGCACAGAACGGCTGCCAGAGCGTCTCACAAGTTCACTGCCCCTTCCTCCTGCCGAGGAAATCCCACAGAACCAAAGATCCTGTGCTTCAGCCAGTACCAAGTCTCAGTCTTTGCATCGTGCTGTGTGTTACATTCTTGATCTGCAGAGAAATCACAGAAATGTCTTTTGAGCTGTATAGTTTTCTTCACAATTAGTAATGTTGTATTTATTTGCCTTACAAAGGTGGGAAACTTTAGACAGCTTCATGCAACATGATGTCCAGGAATTATGTCGAGTGGTATGTTGAGACTATTTCTTGCTGATCTGTGATGCATAATGTTGTGTCTTGATACTGTGCATGTATTATAAAATTTACTAACAATCTGAGTAATAGTGGCCTTGATTAATTTAAATTAGGTTTTGAAGGCAGAGGTTTTGCCTTGGTTTATTTCTCTTTAAGAATGGGATTGCTTATGGCTTCTTCAGGGTGAGGAATTTGTAAAGAATAGGGAAACTTGAAAGTAACTGAACATGTGCTAGTGGTGCTTTTATAGCCATGGAGAGAAATGCAGTTTTGAAGCCACAAATACATTGTTACATCTGTGGGGTTTTCCAGACTCAAAGGAATGTAGCTGGAGTAGTCCTCAGTGGAGTTTTTAGGGGGAAAAGGAGGATTTAAAAGACTAGAAAGGAGATACCAGTACAGACTAACATTTCATTTTTATATAAGTGATGTAGAGTCTATTCAGTGAAGTAGTCATCTGTATGTGATGAATAAAGAAAAAAACTGCAAGATCATCTTATGTAAAAACTAATTTTTCTTTCAGCTGCTCGATAATGTGGAAAATAAAATGAAAGGCACATGTGTAGAAGGCACTATTCCTAAATTGTTCAGAGGGAAGATGGTGGTATGTATTTAATACTTCTTAAAAAGATAATTACATTTACTCTGTTACTTGTATACATTGAAATTCTTTGGTGTTTTGGTTTTGTTTACAGTCTTACATCCAATGCAAGCACGTAGACTATCGATCTGAACGAATAGAAGATTATTATGACATCCAGCTAAGTATAAAGGGAAAGAAAAATAGTAAGTGATACACTATGATATGCACCAGTTAAATACTTCAACATGTTGGACTTCAGTGCCTTAAGATTTCAAATGGTTTTGTTGGTGCACAGCAATTTGAAAATCTTTGCTTTAAGACACCTAATTGAAAATATTTTCTGCAGAAAATGTTTTTGCCTGTGTTACCTTTTTTTTTAACCTTATCCCATTTCCCTTTCCCGCTCTTTCCTCCCTAATTCTCTCACTAGTATTTTTTCAAAAAAGTCCAGAAACTTCAGGAGTTTTCCTGATGTCATAAAACTGCATACTGTGCCATGGTGACAACAGTGGTGTTGTCACAGTGAGTAATAATTTATATATAAAGATGAACTCGAAGGAAATAAATTCTTGTTTGGACCTGACCATAGTAATAAGCAAATAATGAACTCATCAGAACAGCATAACAGTGGTCCCTTATCATCTCTTTACTGAGTGCTTGGAGTACAAGGCATGAAAAGGGATGTTTAAGAGTCCAGCAAACAGAGTCATCTTGCTTGCTGCTCAGCAGCTGCAAAGTGAGGAGTTTTGGCAGACAGTTGTAACTCTGATTTTAAAATCTATTAATACCTTTATGTATGCTCCTACAATTTGGTGCATTTCTGGACACTCTTAAGCAATATAAAACTTTTAAAAGTAAAGACAGAAATATTCAAACACAAACTCTCATGTCCTAATATGTTTTTTGATAATACATTGCAGGCTGGAGTAAACTTACTTTTTTCCTCCTCCTTCTGTGCAATTCCCCTATTTTTTTCATTTAGTTTTTGAGTCCTTCATTGACTACGTTGCAGTGGAACAGTTGGATGGTGATAACAAATATGATGCAGGAGAACATGGCTTACAGGTATTTTTTTATCTACTTTTAAATGTTATTTCTTTATGCCTGATAAAATAGCAAATGAAAATAACTAGCAAAACAATGTTGCAAAACCCATTCTAGATTTTATCAACTGATTTTGGTGATGTTTCTTCTTAGACAAGCTTTGCATAATTCTTCTTAGTTGTTGTTATGTTTCTGAAAATGGAGCACAGATTTTATAGCAATCTAATTAGCAGTGAGTTTTGTAGGTCCAAGTCGTTCAGTTACTGGAATGTTTCACTTTTCTACCAATCTCAAGACTGAAAAGTTCTTCCTCTCAGTAGCCTGTTGTTCCATGTGTCAAGTAAAAAAAGAATCATAGCTCCAGAAGTAACTTTAGAGACTTGATGTTTGTATCATCAGCAAGAACACCAAATGAACCCTGGAATTTTAAACATTTATGTGTATGTACATGTTTCTGAGCTTTTCAGTTGCACTTTGCTGCACCCACTGGAGGAAGCTGAAGTTTCTTTATAATTAATGTTGTTTTACTAAAGCTTATTTCTACAGCTTTGATACACCAGATTTTGTCAGTAATGTCTTATATATTCTTTTGCTGTTCTTGGGAAAGTACAGCACAGTAGCCAATACTTGTTGGCAGGATACAATGAACATGAAATTCTTAATTGATCAAAAATGAGGGTTTTCCTCCATATTCTCTTCTAAATTGTATTTATACATGTGACTTGCTCTTAATGCTGTGAGGTGTCCAAGTGTGCTTGTATGAATGGCCTAAATTTAAATTAACTGAGTTCTTGTGTTACTGTAGTAGCTCATTAGAAGGTTGGTGCAGCATTGGGGTAGTTTACTTGCACCCAAGTTTTGAACCATTCTTTGGTACTGGTGCCCATTGTGTCATCAAGCCTATGAAAATCCCTAAGAAGAGTGTCTGCAGCAAACAAGTATTTTGAGTTGCTGAAAATCTTCCAATTTCAACCCTCTATTTCCTTTAAAATGTCTAGGAGGCAGAGAAAGGTGTGAAGTTCCTGACATTGCCACCAGTATTACACCTACAGCTCATGAGGTTTATGTATGATCCTCAGACTGACCAAAACATCAAGATAAATGATAGGTAAGTTGGTTGGTTGGTTTAGTTTGTGGGTTTTTTGGGTCGGTTGGTAATTTTTTTAATTGTAGAATTTGGACCTGTGAGTGTATTTTACCAGAAATAATTTGCCAGAATCCTGTTTGTGTGTGGATAGGCCACAAGAGTAAGTAGGATGAAACAGGAGTTATCTGCTTTCCCTCCATCTGTTCCCATAGATGGAGAGAGAGCCATTTGCCCCCTCACTGTAAGTAGAGGGTGATAATTTCTAAAGGACATGCATTGCTGGTTGTAAACTAAATCTGTACTGCAGTGGTTTCAGCCTCACCAAGGTGAGACTGCAGCAGCTGTGAGGCATTTCAAAATAATATTCCAGTCCAGTGGTAGCTGTGCTAGGAAAGCTGTATTTGTCAGAAAGTAGCATATTTTAAAGCTTTTATCTTGACACAGTGAATCCAAACCAGCCTTATTTCAGTTAAAATGCTCTTACCCTTGTTACTGAGGGCATACTTTTCCAGAGGTGCTTGCAAAGATTATTTTTATTCCATATTAAAACAATATAAATTCTGCCACTGTATGCAGTATGTCCTGGAGAGAAATAGCATTGTAACAGTAATGTGTTCAATTTTTGCAGCTTGCTTTAGGAGTACATACAATGCTCCATAGTAGTGCTTAATAATGTGTGTCTGTCTTAACTGCAAATACAATTCCCTTAATTCTTTTCAAAACTAGGTTTGAATTTCCTGAACAGTTGCCACTAGATGAATTTTTGCAAAAAACAGATCCTAAAGATCCTGCGAATTACATCCTCCACGCAGTCCTGGTCCACAGTGGAGACAACCATGGTGGACATTATGTTGTTTACTTAAATCCAAAAGGTGATGGCAAAGTGAGTATTGAAAAGCACCTTAAACACAAGTGTGTGTGTTGCAAATGTGTACGTGGAGTTTTCATAATGGGCAAAGCTTCTGGAATTTTTGCACCCTAAAAGAAAAGTCTGCTGACACACTTCACTTCTAGCAAAAGACATCTGACTAAGGGAATCCCTTCGTCAATGTGTGTATGTGTTAAAGTTCTACTTCAAACTGATTTTATCCAGCAATTTTTTTTTTAGGCTGACTTTGCTGAAGCAAATATGAACATTTCAAGTGTTTCTGTGACTCAGAAGTTCAGCATTTTTGCATATTCCACTGTTACAGGTTTAGGTGACTTGATTGGATCAGACATTTATAGGTCAAGTGCCTCTTCCCTTGAGTTGACTGGTTTTGTGTGTACCTGACTATTCACAGTAAAAGTAGAAGTCAGATTTTACTAATTTGTTGCTATTTGTCATTTGTTCTTAATTGACTTTATTGTTTGAATTTAAAATTTGATGTAAATTTCTCTAAATATACAAATAATTACCAGATGTCTTGTACATCTCTGCTTTTTATTGTATTCTAACACAAATAAGGTCAATTTTCTGTTTCATACAGAAATACTTGATATTTGAATAACAGTCTGAAGAAAAGCTTCTGATATTCGGTGTAAAATGTTCAAATACTTCAGCAAAGGTTTGGTATTTTTGGAATTCCTTTTGCTGAGCACAAGTAGCAGGTAGCACAAATTACACTGAACTAGATCTTTTTTTAAAAGTCACGCTGCTTGAAGAGTAATTTCAGTTACTTCAAAGAGCTGGAAGCCGTGCCAGAAATAGGATTAATTTATCATTCAAGAACACGATTTAATGTGTAAAATTACATTTATGTAAAATTTTCTCTCTAGTGGTGTAAATTCGACGATGATGTCGTATCAAGATGCACGAAGGAGGAAGCGATTGAACACAACTACGGGGGTCACGACGACGACCTGTCAGTGCGGCACTGCACCAACGCCTACATGCTGGTCTACATCAGGGAGTCCAAACTCAGTAGGTGTCCTCTGTCTGTGCTCAAAGGTGCATTTAAAAACAGGGATTTAGGGCTACAATTTAGCTCTGAAAATTCCCATGGGATCAACCAGCCTTCCTCTCACATTTGGAGAGAGTGTTCTAATCTAGCGCAGTAAGGCAGGACTGGGCGTCTGCAAAGTGCTTCAGACGTTGGTTTTTTTACAGGTTGGAAAACTTACTGTCCTAACTTCAGTAATGGAACCTAAATCGAACTGATTATAAATATGTAGATATATGTATGCTAAAAAGTGGAGCGGTAGTAAATATTTTTTTAATTCCGAATGTTTAATTCAGAAGTTCTGTGATACATTTTTCATGGAAGTAGTGCGTTTTGGCTTGGGATAGAAAAAGCTGCTTTTGCCAAAGTATGATGATTTCAAGCCATATTTTTAATTATACGATGAAGAAAGCTGGTTTTGACTTCAAGTCAGAGGAAAGTCAAACGTGTATGAAAAGAGGCACTGCTTGATGTAAATCTTGAAATGACATAATAAAATCTGCTTTGTAGGTGAAGTTTTGCAGCCTGTCACCGACCATGATATTCCTCAACAACTTGTAGAAAGGCTACAAGAGGAGAAAAGGATAGAAGCTCAGAAGAGGAAGGAGAGGCAGGAAGCTCACCTCTATATGCAAGTGCAGGTCAGCTTTTGAAACGGATTAAGTTGCAACTGCCTTACCATGAAAATTCAGAATGTTGAGCCACCTGAGACAAACCTTGATTTTTCTTTCCTTTTAACTTTTTTTTTTTTTAATTTGTGCTCTGAAGTAGTGTTTGAAGTGAAATTATTATTTTAGTGCTTGTAAGTATATTTACATATGCAAAGAATCCTAATGAATCACACAGTACTGTCTGTTATAGACATTTCTGTTTTCGGTAGGATATATGTGCTCTTCAGTAAAAATAGGAAGTTCAGGTGAAAGGAAAAGGACCAGGTTATTTCAAATGGCTGCCCTGCCACTGCACTTTTATCTCCTTCAGGAATTATTTTCTAAAATTAGAATGTATCTAGCCATAGGCTGCAAGCCTGGACTTCTGCCAAACTGAGCTCATCAAGTCGAAGCAGAAGGAGAGAGTGCTTATATTTGCAATTATCTTTTTGGAAAAGCCAGATGGACTAGATCGTTATGAATTGCCTTAAGGAACCCCGTTTATGGCTCTTTCCAGAGCCCATCTGGCACAGGAAAATAGAACCCATTTGCCATTTGCCTCCATGTTTCTTTGCATCTTCTTTCTGGTGTTCATAAGTAGAGGCACTGGTGAAGTTTGGCTCGTTCTGCACTGCGTTTGCACTGGAGCTGTTTCCTGTGGGGAGACTGGCAGCGTTTGTGTTTCTGTTAACAAAGAGTGCAGGAGGGCCCTGGGAAATACAGGAGAAGGTTTAGGCAGCCTCCTTGCCTTACACTATAAAATAATTATGTAGCTTTTTTTTTTTTTCCCCTCTAAGTGCCAGGATTGTTAGGGCACATGTTTCCAAGACTGGGATCTAAGCACAACTGGTTTTTAATTGTCCGGGATTTGTAAGAATTAGTATATTTTAATTACTCACACTGATGTGACTATCAATCACAATTTTTTAATTTAATTATAATCTGTGTGCTTGCAAATTGTCTTCATGCAAACACAGATAGTGTTAGCACTGGGCCACCACCCAGGCAGCCAGTGAGGTTGCATAGTAAAGCATCAGGAGAAGATATTACATGGTGCAGCTGAGCTAATATGAGTAGTAACCTTTAAATGTCATTTTTCAGATAGTGGCAGAGGATCAGTTCTGTGGTCACCAAGGCAATGATATGTATGATGAAGAAAAAGTGAAATACACTGTTTTCAAAGTATTAAAAAACTCCACACTCACAGAATTTGTTCAAAACCTCTCTCAAACGATGGTAAGTTTTCTGTAGCTGAATTACCTGTATGTATTTATTTTATGACATTATGGCTGCTTCATAGCCCTTACCTTCTCCAGCAGTCATAATTTAGACCTTTTAACACAGATCATCTGTTTGGGTTTAATAGAAGTATCTTAGCCTTTTTTCCTTGCTTTGTTTTAGTTTCCTGACATGTTTTTTATTTATTTTAGGGATTTCCCCAGGATCAAATCAGATTATGGCCAATGCAAGCAAGAAGTAATGGAACAAAAAGACCTGCAATGTTGGATAATGAAGCAGATGGCAATAAAACGGTAAATAGTCACTGACAGAGGACATTTTTTGTCTGTCCATCATTCATGATTTTTAGTTCTCGTTAAAAATATCTAAGTTTGGGACAACAGTTTTTTCAGGGTATTAACTTAAAATTAATTTCACTGTATCTGGTAAAGTTTGATACTTAATCAGATTTGAGATTTAGTGGATTAATTTGGATAGGAAGCAGGAATGTGGTGCATGATTTTTCTTCCATGAAAAAAAAGTATGATGATGATGATGATGATTTTCAATGTTAGGTTTAAAACAAATGTCCTCCGTTATTTGAGCAACAAGTCTGGATTTAATGAAATGTGTTGCTTAAAATATGAAACACTGTGTCTAAATAACACAGAAAACAGTGATTGGTTTCTGTCCTGTCACTGTTGTGTTACTTCTAACATGAAATAATGTTCTTGCCATAATATAGCTGTAGGTACATTTTTAAATGAAAAAGAGGTTTTATTTTAAATAAAACCAATCATTAGTACTTTGTTTAACTTTTTGTCATTTTATATCTGTATTTGTTTTTCTTAATAAACTTCATAAACTACCTTTAACACAACTTTAAAAACCCCAAAACTCTCCCACTCATACAATGTCATAAACTTCTTGTGTCTGATTAAAATGCAGATATCAGTTTGTATTATGTTCTCCAGAGACCTTTTTTTTTTTCTTCTTTCACATCTTTCTACACAGATGATTGAACTCAGTGACAATGAGAATCCTTGGACAATATTTTTGGAAACAGTAGATCCAGAGATGGCTGCTACTGGAGCAACATTACCCAAGTTTGATAAAGATCGTAAGCAGATGGGCTAAACCTTCCCTAAATACAAAATATTTCTATTTTGGGTATATCTCCAAAAACATTGTACACTCCTTTCTTCAAGGGTGTTGTTGATGTAACCATCAAACTACTACAGTGCTGAAATTAGTTTTTTCTCATGCAGTTTTTCCTTCATTTCTCTTGAAGTGTAAGACATACTTTGCATGTTTTTACACTCTCACTATACACTATATATATATATATATATATTTTAGGGGCATCAAACAATTACATCAAAGACACATACTTATTAGTGTGTAAAGAAAAATATCTAGGTGATCTCCTTCCCCCCTCCCTGCCCCAACCCTTTACTTAAAATTGAGTCTTGTTTCTTCCTTTGTAGATGATGTGATGTTGTTTCTGAAGATGTATGATCCGAAGACTCGGAGTTTGAATTATTGTGGACATATCTACACCCCTATATCCTGTAAAATACGTGAGTTCTGAAATTCAATTTCTTTGATATAACTGAAGGCTTTTAAAGACAGTAGGTTGCAGGTATTTTTTCTTTTAATAATGTTTCTGTCACAGAAACAGATTGTTATTTAACCCAGAAGCAGACAGTTTTCTTCCCCATGCTGTGTCAGTGACACTTTCTGCAGGACTGAGCATGTCACTGTTGGTGGTCAGTAATTGTTGGTTACAGGTTTGCTGTACTCACCAGATGTTGCTGAACATAAACAGCTCTTTCAGACTTGTTGTAAAGCTTTGTGATTTGATATTGCTCTCCAGTTTGGGATTTTCCCCTTCTGTTTCAAGGATCTGGGGAAATATACTCCTGCAATAGCTTTTAAAATAATTCCTCTACATTCTTTCACTATGGCAGCTTGAGCAGCTGCTTGGACTGGATTGGGTGTCAGCCTTGATTTCATATGGGTCCACTTAAGGAATTCAGCAACTGTCAACTGAGTAAAAATACTTCAGTTTTTCATTTTATTGGCTTGTACATATTTTCTAATTTTCTATTTTAAGATATTAAATTTTTCTCGGGGAAGGAGTGGTGTTATTTCATCTCTTGAATTTCCAACGGTCTTTCACATATCCTGTTGTTGTCCAAATGAAGTGGAAGGAAACCTCAAAATATCTCAACAAGGGAAGCTTCAACCTGGAAGGCTCTTTCTTAGACATTGTAAAACTATCTCTCCAGGGTAGCAAAATAGGTTCTCTCCTTTCTGTGGTTGGTCTCACCAGCAGTTACTGCAACGTGTTTCACATTCCTTCTTTTTTTTCCCAATAGGTGACTTGCTTCCAGTTATGTGTGAGAGAGCAGGATTTCCACAAGAAACTAACCTTATCCTCTATGAGGTTTGCATTGACAGACTTTCTCTAACTTCTTTGTCTTTTACATGCTATGACTAAAGAAAAAGAAGCTTTATTCATTAAAAAAGTTGCTTATGATGATTTATAAACCATCAGCACTGTGACCTGTAGCTTTGAAGTCTATAGTGCTCCAAGAGAGTAGCAGATAGTTAACTTCAAAACAGATTTAATATTAAACAGCTGGAAGTGTGAGGCTTTAAAAACCAAAAAAAATCTCTCCTTGCAGATCTACATGAATAGCTTGGTTGTGCTAAATCTCTGTTGCCATGTAAGAGCAGCTAATGTTGCTGATGTTATTGACCATTGTATTTTCAGTGCCCCCCTTAGGCAGTGCAGCTGAGAAAAAATGCTGCATCTTCTCCTTCCTTCCTAAGTCAGAAGTCTGCAAACAAAATCCTTACTCCACTAGCGTGTTTCTGCCCAAATACACAAATAGTAAATCTTCAGAACTGCTGCGTTTATTTAGTGCTGAAGATGCAGATCTTGCCAAGGCAAAGTCCTGGCTAGAGTGAGAACAAGGAACTGGGTTTTTTTTTGGAAGTTTGTTAGCAGTCCTGCTGCTCTCTCTGGTGGTTCCAGGGCAGCACACACTCTGCCATCCTAAAGAGCAAACTGTCAGGTGCTCCTGCTCTGGGCAGGGCAGGGTTACAGTTTGATTCCAGTTTGCTTTTATCCCACCCTACGAGTATAATTATGTAATATGCATATAGATATTTTATAATACATGCATTTTCATTATGGCTTTGTTGGGGTTCTCTTTTTTTTTTTTTGGTACTTATTTTAAAGACAAGTGAATTGGTGCACATAAATCCTGCACTATTAAAGTAAGTGAGCATAATCACTGCTCTCCAAGCTTCCTGGAAGCTGAATCAGTAGAAAATTAATTTTGGAAAAATTAATTAAAAAACATTATCAGCGTAATGATAAAATAGTTTTGAAAATTAGGACAATTTGAGTGAGATTCCAAAGGTAAAAATGAGCAACCAGTTTTATCAATAGCAACTAGATCTATCTGTACTCTAGCTAAGATTACATTTAATTTGTGTGTGTGTATATATATATATATATATATACACACACACACATATACACACACATTTTTTTCAGTTAAAAGGAGATACAAGTTATCTTACATGAAGATTTCTGCACTATTGTGACCTTTATTTTTGTCTTTTGTTTGTTCTGTGATCAATAATTGTTATTCTTTATTGCAGGAAGTTAAACCCAATTTAACAGAAAGGATTCAAGACTATGATGTATCTCTTGATAAAGCTCTGGATGAACTCATGGATGGTGACATCATAGTGTTTCAGAAGTATGTATTTTAAGGGGGCAGCTTATCATTGCAATTAAATCACCTGATTCATTTTGAAAGCAGAATTTCCTTTAACTAAGCATTTTTAACAAGAGCAAAGTATTATGTTCCAACAGTAGATGTGTTCTCAGCAGTTCTCATTTGTTTATTCAAAAGGGAAGTGAAAAAATATTGGTAGTTCTTTAATTATCACGTGCCATATTATTAAGGAAAAGAAGGTTTCATCCTAGTTTAGGAAACTAACAACCTGAAATAAGTCCTAATATTACAGATAATGGTTCAGAAATGCATTTGATTTGTGCAGCTTTTTAGTGCAGCCACTGCAACTCGGATACCAAAGAGCCTTCCAGCATTTCAGACCTCGGGCTCAATACCATGCCCACTGTACAAGGCTCTTGGCTTGGAGCTCCTTTCAGCCTAGAACTGAACTAAACTGCTTTCCCTTTCTCCCTTTTTACTGACACTCACAGTTAGTTCCTTACTGGTGTCCTGGTCTGTGGTGATGAGATGCTCCCAGTTTGCCTGAGCGTATCCAACTTGTAGGTGTACTGGTGTTTCAGCTGGAGTTTTCACCAAGGCAAAAGGGGAACTCCTGCATCTTGTACCCATTAAAGGGATCTTTCATAATCTTGTCAGGGCTATAAATCAGCATTTCTATGCTCTCACTGCTGATGGTCACACCCAACTGTGTTGCTGTGTTTCTCTCCATGGGCTGACAGTGGGTGGAAGCCAGCTAGTCTATCTTCAGCACTCTTATCCCAGATTATGTGAGATGAATGTATTTCTCATGTCATGCCATGGAACTCGCATTCCCAGTTGACCCAGTTGGTGTTATGCACCCTTGGCTGGCTGCTGACTCCTGGGTAAGTGCACAGCTTGTACCCTGGTGCTATTTCTCTGCTGAGAAGTTGGGGTACCAGTCAGGAGTGACCCAAACCAGCCTCTGTGCCCACTGCTCTGCTTCTGTGGGCCAAGGAATGCTGTCGTAGATCTGGCCTCTGTGCAAAGCAATTGATACAGGGATATGTGGAAAGCTGTGCAGCATCAATACAGACACACAGTGATGTGCCAGGGTGGGAGGGAGGGATGGCTCCTGCTGGAATGGTGCTGTGGAACCACAGGATCCAGGGTATGGCCAGGCTGCCAAGAGTGAGCGCAGCAGGTGAGGGCGATGGGCCTTGCACTGCACAGGGCTCTGGGTCACTGCTGACTGCATTAGTCCTACTGTGTACAAGTGGTGGCTCTCTAAAAAGGTTTCTAAACTTTAGTTCTGTACCTCTCAGCTGTTGCTGACTTACTGTAGAACATGTTTTTAAAAGCCCAAACTGTTTGTGTGTAACAATGTGATATGTAATGGTGTTATCATCTGTTTGCTCTTGTAGGGATGACCCAGAAAATGATAACAGTGAACTGCCAACAGCTAAGGAATACTTCAGAGATCTCTACCATCGTGTGGATGTCATTTTCTGTGATAAAACCATCCCCAACGACCCAGGCTTTGTTGTTACTTTATCCAATAGGATGAATTACTTTCAGGCACGTGCCCCGTTTCTCTGCTTTCGTTTCCTTGTTCTTTTGCAATCCTTCACAAGTGCATTATAAAGGTATTATATTACCTTTATATTCTATACATATATATATATATATATATATATATATATATACACACCTATATATATATACACCTATATATTCTAAAGGTATTATATTACCTTTAGAAAAGGGTAGATCTGTTCTTGTGCACCATTTGCATTGTGGTAATGAAAAATTTGAGGAAGCCATTAAGGCTTGTGAGAGGAAAATGCTCTGAACTCCCTGGTTTTGTTAATAATGAGTTATTTGATAATAGGATTCTTTCTTGGTAGGGCATTCTGCTCTGTCAGAGAAATGATATTCTAATGAATTTATGCATTTGCTTTCGAAGTGACATGTAAAATTTAGCTATTAGAAGGAAAATACTTTGGGAATCTACTGATACCTGTGTTGTGCTTGTAGTATCACCAACAATATTCATTTTATAGACCAAACTGTATTGCTTTCTTCACACAATGCAGTTTAATGCTCAGTGACACTGACAGATCAAACCTGTTGTGTTCATAAAGAGTGACATGGGGTGTTGAGATGAGGAAAACTGAACATTGAAACTTTAAAAAAAAAATGAAATAAAGTTGGTTTGATCTATTAAGAGCCTGAGTAGATTTGGCTCCCTACAGTTCTCCTTCAGCTGCATTTGTCAGTGTCAGAATTATCACTTAAAACCAGACAGTTTATTTGCTGTCACCAGAGGCAGAAACTTTGAGCACCTGCATATACAGGGAAAGTCAGAGATGACTTTTGCTATCCTGCTCTCATTGTCTGCTTTTTGGCCAGTTGTCCTCTCTTATTTTCTTTCCACTTGAAGTGTAAGGTCTTTATAGTTTGGTAAGGCAAAAATGGACAGAGAATGCCCATGCCTCTGTGAGGCAGTGCTAGGAAATATGGGAATTATGTGGTGTTATTACTTTAATTCACTGCAAGCAAGCTAACTTCCTTGGAGTGAATTAAAGGAGTGGGAATCTTCGAAGAGCAAGTCTTACTTATTCCCCTAATAATACTATAATTAAAAAATGAAAACCAAAACAAACCAACAGCAAAAAGCAACCAAACAACAAATTCAACCAAACAAGCAAAAGAGGAATAGAGGTATTGTTGTGGATTTTGTGGCATTTGGGTGACAGTGATTTATTGTAATAAAACAGTTTCCTCATTTTTTTTGTGGTATATCTTATTCTGTGTCAACCGTTCAGAAGCTGACAGTACTAGTTTATTTAGCCTTGGAGGGGTAGACAGTGGGTTTCTCTCAGAATGTCAGTAGCATAATGTTCTTGTCTTGGATTGAATTGAGTGTATGATTGTAGGGCAATGTCATAACTGTCTGAAATAATTCAGAACTTACCCCAAATTTATTTTCAGGTTGCAAAGACAGTCGCGCAAAGACTTAACACGGATCCAATGCTATTACAGTTTTTCAAGTCCCAAGGGTAAGATGAATTCCTTAGTGTTCTGGGTCTAAACTATTCCTTAAAAGATTTAGCCCCAAATACAGGTAGGTAGCAGTTACTTTGTAGCCTTTTCCAGATTGTTAACTAATTCTTTGCCGATAAAATGTCACCGTTCTGGAATGCACAGCAGGTTGCAGAGGCAGTTTGAATATTGCAGTGTCTGGCTCTAGAGCCTCAAAGAGTTGCATGTTTTAGAAGAGTTCCAGTAAGTATCATTGAAAAAAATCATTAATTCAAAGCCTTATGCTATGAGATAAATTACTGAGCTAATACAAGTGCTGTTTCAGTGAATGCAGACTTCTAGAATAGAACAGAGCAGAGCAGAAACAAATACACCTAAAAGTAATTTTGCTGATCTTAGGAGTTGAAGTGCAGGAGGTACTTCACTGATTTCCCCCCTCTTCCCTCAAAGTCTGTAAATGAGGTTTCATGAAGATGACAACAATTTAGCAAGTTCACAGGTGCTCAGAAGGATATTTCTGGTTCAAATGGTGTTCTTAGGCACTAGATTTGAGTCTGTGTAAAACTAGCACAAAACAGTGTATTGGTAGCTGTCTGTATGTGCTGCAGCAATAATGCACCCACAAAGCTTGCATATTTTTGTATTCATGTAAGTGTAGATTGCTCTTTAGTTACCTGAGGGTATCTCCCTTCCTCATCAAGGAGACTTGGAATTTGAGTAGCTCTTTATAGTTTACAGTGCTGTGGTCACTGTGGAATTTGCTGTGTCATGTGGCTCTGCAAATTAACCTGCCACAATCTAAAGCATGTGCTGCCATACCAGTAATTCCAGAGGAATGCAGGTCTGCCACCCTGCAGCACTGAGGGTGAGCTTGTAAACATCCAAGAGAGTTGACACACACAGTGAATGGTTCTTCTGTTCCCACAGCTCAGCTGTGTTTAAAAATCACTAAAGCTCTGTATGTTGTGCTGCTTAGGCTGTGGTAGCAATTATGTGAAACTGGAAACCAGCAATAAAAGTGTTCTTGGTGCTTCCATTTACTGAGCAGTGATGGATTTTGGAGAGATGGACTGGGAAAACATACTCATGTTCTTCCTCTTTCCTTCTGTAGTTATAGGGATGGCCCTGGTAATCCTCTTAGACATAATTATGAAGGTACTTTAAGAGATCTTCTGCAGTTCTTCAAGCCTAGGCAACCGAAAAAACTCTACTATCAACAGGTAAGAGTCTTTGATTTTTAATGGTGTGAGTTAAAAAAAAAATCCTTCTGCCCTATTCAAAGTATGCCTAAAGTGTTTTTCTTTTCTTTCTTTAGCTCAAAATGAAAATAACTGATTTTGAAAACAGAAGAAGTTTTAAATGCATATGGCTAAATAGCCAGTTTAGGGAAGAGGTGAGTGAGGCATTTGCTGTTGTTTCTGTGTCAAAAGTGGTATGGCTGTGGTTATGGGTCACACACTGTCCCTGAATAACACAAAATTAGAACAAAGTCATACCTTACATGAAAAAACCCTAACCAAACAACAAGAAAAAAACCCACAAAGAAAAAAAAATTGTCTGTTAACAAAAATTTTTGAAGAAAACATAGGTGTTATTTTAGTAATTGTTTTCTTTTACAGATGAATTTTAGATGAAATGAAGAATCTAATGTGTTTTGTGTTTTAATGTGGTTTTTTTATATTTTCAGATTTTTTAATGATTTCTGTGTTTCAAATTCCCCAGGAAATAACAGTATATCCAGATAAGCATGGGTGTGTGCGGGACCTGTTAGAAGAATGTAAAAAAGTTGTAGAACTCTCTGAAAAAGGTTCAGGGAAATTAAGGTAAAGCTGGAGGATTTTGATTTCTTTTTATGTGATCATGTGGATTTTATGCAGAAAAGTATCCATAGAATTTAAAATATTGTAGAAACCATTATTAACAAATTAAGTCTGATACTATGTTAAAAATAAAAAGCTTCCAGATTCCCACTGTTAAAAAGCGTTCTTATTAACTATGAATATAAATTGTATACAATTATTTATTTTGTGTTTCGTAAAGTTATGTCCTTGAGATGCATAAGTTTCATCAATTGCATTTGTTAACTCACAATTTAATAATTGTTTCCAATTCAAGCATTTCGTGCTATTCATTTCTTGGGAGTTACAGGAGTTAAAAGTGAGGTCATGTAAAGAGAATTTTTAAAGCAATCTATATTAAAAAGCCTTGTTTTGTAATGGCATGTACTGGCTTTTTTGCCATGAGCGAGAAGTAATTTAACCTCTTGTAGCTTTACTGCTTAATTTTTACTAAAGGCTGAATTTAAAGTTTTACAAAGAAAGAAGTAGCATCACTTTACATCCTGACTACACTAATCATTCTCAAGATTTGAGGAAGAAATGTTGCACTGTTTTAGGGGTTTTAATTTATTTTTTGAAAATGCTTTTCCTGTTCGTTTCTTTTAAGGCTGCTAGAAATTGTAAGTTACAAAATAATTGGTGTCCATCAGGAAGATGAGCTGTTAGAGTGTTTGTCACCTGCCACAAGTCGAACGTTTCGAATAGAGGTAAATAAATTCTCTTAAAGAAACTTTGCAACTTGACTTTGAGAGAGGAAACCCTCTCAAGTGGTAATTCTCTTTTTCTGGATTTTGATTTTCAAATACCTGCAGCAAGTTAGATTACATGATTAATATATATGTATTGTTAAAGGTAGTCCTTGTTTGTTCTATCTGCTTCCCTAGAATTATTTCATCTTTAATTTTTTATACATACTTATTATATAACAATACATGAGGGCCTGGCAAGGGCCTGTCCATAGGACATTAAGTATCTTGGCAATAATTGCAAGGTTTGTTTGAGGGCTCGTGATATAAATGTTTATTCTTAGAACCCACTTCCATACTATAAACTTAAATACTCTAGAAGACTTTGTGTCCTTTTCTGTGAAGTTTGAGCTTCCTGGGGCAAATTTTGTTACTTAGTGTGATTTTTTTCTTTCATCATTTCTGAAAGATCAGAAATTTTAAAAAAAGTTTCCAATGTAAATTGTAATGAAGACTCTTGTAAAAAGACTGTCAAACAACATGGTTCCTTTAATTGTTTTTAAACAGAATTGTTTTATATCAGTAACAAGACATCAATAATGCTTTTAGTTACTTAATAAGGTACTTTTGGGGGAAGTTTAGCTGATTGCAATCCTAATTCTGTGTCTGGATCTAGGAAATTCCTCTGGACCAGGTAGATATAGATAAAGAAAATGAGATGCTAATCACAGTGGCACATTTCCACAAAGAGGTTTTTGGGACATTTGGAATTCCATTCTTGCTGAGGATACACCAGGTACAGTATGCCTCCCTTTTTCTCCCTGTGGGATTGTACTGATGATGTTTTGTTAAAGTACTGTCAAAGAAATGGATTAGTGTAACAAATGTATAGGAAAATTCCTGTATAGGAGGTTCTGCCCTGTTTCTGCCTTTTTGTGGTTAAATCATTCACCATCTCAGTTCCCTTTTGCATGTACAGATTGTTCAGTGTTTCAGTGAGCCTGTGCAATATCCAGAAAGCAGATATTTGGCCTCAGACAAGGACTTTTAATGCTGTCAAATCAGTACTACCCCATTCCCCAGCCCCCTACAGAACCCCCCAACAAACATAAAACCCTATTTCTAATACCACTTTAGTAACTGCAGTGTGAACTTGTTGGCAAAAGTTGGCCAGGCCGTGGTTGTTTGGCTTCTTACTGAGACAGGTGATTATGGAAAATGAGGTTATTTTCTTCAGCTCTTTCTGAGATGACTTTGCATTTCATAACTTCTCTAATTTGATATGCTTTATCTTCTAGGGCTGGAAGTTAATACAAAAGAGTGAAAGCTAATTTTGAAAGCTTAATTTAAATTGTCAGGTTTTTCTGTGGTGCTGCTCCAGTTGAATGTCACACTGATCCTTTTAATATCAAAGTGTATTTCTGGGGGCAGTGGACCATTTGCTTCTAAACTTTTTCTGGTTCGTGTATATTAGTTTGTATGAAAATTACCTACCTTTAAAGATTTGCCAATAAGGAACGTGTCCACATCTCTCTACCTCATAGAATTTTACTAATTTCTGTATTTTTCAGCACTGTAGAGTAAAACTTTTATAGTGATTTCTGGTGGAAACCATTTGCACTGCAGTTCTTTGTGTATGACAGTTGATACATATTATTCATCTTTAAGTTGATGGTATCCATTCATCACTGTTTTGGGCAGTTTACACAGTCAGTGAGCAGAAACATACTACAAAAAGTAGCAATATGCTTAGCAAGAGTATGTTGTGGGTTTGGGGTTTTTTTTCCCCCTCAAATTCCTATTTTGCTGCTTATTTTCTGACTTTGATTCTTAACTTTAACCTGACTTGCAAATATCACTGGCAATACCTGGTCACTTTATGGGGCAGTTTGCATTATGATGAATCAATAAGACTTTTAACTTAAGTTAAAAGTTAAAAAAACTTAAAAGTTAAGTTTTTGACTTAAAGTTGCTGAATTTATAGGAATTTGCCTGCTGTTGTTCCATATGTTACTGAATGATGTTGACATTTGTGTAATTTTGTAAATTAACAGAGAGATTAAGGCAAAATATTTCAATGAAACTCAAAGCAGGAAATATTAGCAGCTTCCCTTGTTTTTCCTAGATTTTTTTGACATTAAAAATCTTGTTGTAATTATTAGGGTGAACACTTCAGAGAGGTTATGAAGCGGATTCAGACAATGCTGGACATACAAGAAAAAGAATTTGAAAAGGTAATTTCGAGATAGGAAGGTTTTTACTGCTGACTGTAGACCCTAAATGAGTTTATTTTAATAAGTATGCAAACCACAGACTTGGGATAAGTGTAGGTTTTGATTGATAGAATGATTACTTGACTGAAATTGTGCTTTTTCTAAGAATAATTAGGTAGGATGGGTAGGGGTAGTGTTTCTGTACTGCATCAAGAGAGATACTCAGCAAAACACTGAAGTGACCCAGAAAAGTGTAGCTGGTGTGGGACCTCTAGAGGCCACCCCCACTTCACATCCCTGCTCAGAGCAGAACTTGGCTCAAAGTCAGGTTGTGTGCAGGGTTTTACCTCACTGCACTTTGTGAACTCCCAAGGATGGGAATTCTGCCACGTCCTGGACACTGTATTTTATAGCAGCACCACCATCATTGTGAAGACTTTTTTCTTTTCTTATACGTTGGCCTTTTACAACCCCTAAAGAATATGACTTATAGCCAGCTGCAAGTTATACTGTGAACTTAGATTTGAAGCTTTATTTTAATGTGGTGTCCTACCAGTTGGTTTTTTTTCCTTTCTTTTCATAGTTTAAATTTGCCATTGTAATGATGGGCCGACACCAGTATCTCAATGAAGATGAGTATGAAGTGAACTTGAAAGATTTTGAGACCCAGCCTGGTAAGTTTTTAGACACACCTAACTATTCTTTTGACTTGCTGAAGTTGCTCTGCCAGTTGTTAAAATGTGATTATCCTTAACTCAGGATGCAGAAACACTTTGTTCATGACCTAAGTTATATGTAGTAACCAATCAAATATTTATATACACTTGCATGCACAGTGAGCAGTGTTAATTGCATATGTTAGTCTGAGGATATGTACTTTATAGGCATATAAGTAACTAAATAATCTGTTTCCTTGAGAGTTAAAAGATTCCATCTGAGTGACTAAATGGGTCAAATATCAGTATATCACACTTTACAGAAGTGAATTACAGTGTCACTTACCCCTTATTGTTATTGTCCATCTGCTCCCTTGAACATTTGATCCTTATGGAAGGATACTTGTTCATTCTTGATATCTGCAATGAATCTGAAGGATCTTAACAAGAACATTACATATGTGAATAAGATGCTGTGTGATTTTCTTTTCCTAAGAGATGATTCCCCAAGCTACAAATGCAGCTCTGTTCTACATTTGTCTCTGGATGGTCTGCCATCTTGTTTATTTGACTGATATTTAAAGATCTGTTCTCTGAGGAATTTACACGTGGGAGAAACCAGGTTAATCCTTCAGGAGTTCCACCACAGTAGTCTTTTCATAAAATCATAGAATGGTTTTGCCTGGAAGGCACCTTAAAAGACCACCTCATTCCAACCCCCTCCATGGGCAGGGATGCCACCCACTAGACCAGGTTGCTCCAAGCCCTGTCCAACCTGGCCTTGAACACTTCCAAGGGTGGGACATCCACAGCTTCTCTGGCAACCTGTGCCAGTGTCTCACCACTCTCTTGAGTACAGAATTTCTTCCTAACATCTAATCTAAATCTCTCCTTTTCCTCTTTTAAGTGTTACAGTTGGGGATGGCCCCTTTGAATCCACAGTCAGGGATCCATTGAAAGCCTTTAATTCATGGGGGTTTTTTGACCTAGCTTAGCTGAGTGTTCCTCTTCGTGAGCTGCTCTGTCTAGTAGGAACAAGTTTGAGGACAACTTGCTCTCTGCAGTTCTATTTTTCTGACAATTAGGAACTCTGGTTTTTGTTAGTAGGTTTTGCTAGGGTCAGGCTTCCTCCTGTTTTTTCCAGCTGTGCTCTGGATTTATGTGACACTTGTAAAGAAATCCTGTAACTGTCCATTTATTTCAAAACCTGCAGAAGGTTAGACCTGTAGTATTATTGAGTACTTTGCAGGAACCCAGCATAAAGTCCTCTTGTTGTCTGTGTTGCACAGCTGGGTTTATGGCTGTGAGGGGATTTGCCAAAACTGTGAGTGCCTCCAGCTGCACAAGTTGTGTGAGCCCAGGAGTGTGTCACTGGAGGGGCCTCTCTCTCTGCACTACTTGTGAAGAGTCTCTGGAAGATGAACTTAAAAGTGGACATTTCTCCATGGACACATAAACTCTCTCTGGTGTGCCCAGAGCAAGCAGAGACCTGGTTGTTTTCTGGAGTCATCTCTTTTGGGTCTGGGAGGGAGAGGCAATTGTCTGAAACGAACTGTCAGACTTTGTGAGCAAGGCAGAGCCAGTTTTGCCAAAACAACACGAAAAACTAACCAGGTCAAAAGTACAGAACATGTCAGAAAGGAAAAAAAGGAAAACTTGAACCATTTGTAGGGAATTGTAGGGAATGTAAGAGTAAAAGGTTTTAGAGTTCACGGGAAGTTGCCCCTTTGATATAATACTCTTTGATAGAATTAATTTGTACAAATACCAAATTGTAACACATGGTGGACTGATGGAACCAAAGGTCTGGCATTTCTCAATCTGACATAGCTGTCAATGGTGTCCCTCTGCTTTTGCCAGGGTACACTATAGAAATGATTGTGCTGGCACTAGCCATGTAGGACTTAATTTTTTTCTCTAAAAACATTCAAGTAAGATTGGCAATTCTCTTTTTATTTGACATTGACCATTACATTAAGCAAAAAACCAAATAATTTTGACTGAGGAAAATCGGTCCCAAAATGCAGATGCAGGCAATGAACAAGGTCAAGGGTTTTATGCTTTAGTGGTTGCAGTTGATGGCTTTGAATGTAAGAGTGTGCTTTTCTTGCTGGGGGACTCTTTAGTTTCTGCCTTTATCATTTCACTTCAAAGAACATGTGATGCTCTGAATCGAGGACATCTTAGAAAAGTATTTCTTCCATTTGCAAAAAGGGTGTGGACTGTGGCTTTTCATGAAAATTAACAGTAGAAAAAATCATATTAGGTTGAACAAGTGAAACAATCTGTATGTTTTCTTTGCAATCTAAATATGACTACATTTATTTTCTCAGAAAATAAAGAGGAGGGTCAGTTACACGTTTTGTTCATTAACATTATTTGCATTTTACATGAATTTAACAAATATTCCCACTTTTACCAGGTGATAGGATTAGCTGAAAATAGCAGAGATAACTTACAATAGAGTGAATGCTGTAGGTTGCCACATTTTGATGATGGAAACCTCCCTGTTTGAAACAGGCTCAGCACTTGGGTGAAAGCTGATACTTGGTATACCTGTGGCCATAAGTTTTAACAGTAGTTTTCTTGCTTTAGCACACAGTTCACTGCTGTAAACTCCTGTAAGTGACTGAAGAAGGGACAAAACAGCTGCCTGATCCAGAAACAGCTGTAAAATGTATTGTTGGAAGGAAAGTGTGGTCAGGAAAGTGCCTTCTTGGCTGTGGACTGCAGGGCTGTTCTTGCAGCCTCCTTCCCTCCCCTGTGATTCCCAGCAAACTGTGAACAGGGCACACAGAAGTAGTTTGTGTAACAGAAATGTTCCAATGTAGTCTTAAAACTTCAATAATGTTTTTCTCTTTTCTTTTCTAGGCAACATGTCTCATCCAAGGCCATGGCTAGGGCTTGACCATTTCAATAAAGCCCCAAAGAGAAGTCGCTACACTTACCTTGAAAAAGCTATTAAAATCCATAACTGACTTACTTAACCAGATTGTCAAGGCAAGGGACAAAAATAAGTGTGTGTGTGCACCTTTTTAACAACTGTAGAACTTTGGTACACGTGCACTATATCTGAAGTCTTCAGCAAGAGGATTTGCTGCTGATGTTAATTTTATTTTGTTGAGGCTGTTCAGTTTGGCTTCTCTGTATCTATTGACTGCCCTTTTTGAGCAAAATGAAGGTGTTTTTATAAAAGCTTGGATGCCAATGAGAGTTATTTTATGGTAAACGTAATGCAAGGCAATTGTCAGCATAATGAGGGAAGAGTTTAGTAGAACAGTTGACATTGGCAAAATTATTTGTCTGTAGTACGTTTATAGATGGCATAAGCTGACTGGCTGCCCTTCCCAGTGTGGTGTTCACCATCACTGCAGCTAGTAAGTCTTATGTTTAGACTCACATCAGATTTATTTCCTTCAGTTATACTTTAAATGACATTTTTGTGCATTTGTAAATGCAAAAAAGAAAAAAAAACAAACTCACATCATCAATAAATAGCAATCTCTACTTCATTGTGTACATTGTTGGCACTTATTCGGGATTTTTGTCTCCTCCAGCTTCATAGAATCTTTTTTAATAAACTAGTTTTCATTTAATTTAGTCAATACTTTGCATCCCATTTTGCCAAGTGGATGCCCTGAGTCCTAAAAAAAAAAGAGATATTTGGGTCTTTTGATGAAATTTTCAAACCATTGATAAATACCGTTGCAATTTATTATGCCATCTTCTGGCAAACAGAATGACACTCAAAAGTTGGCAAAAGCAAGTGAAAAGATTATAAATATCATTAATTTAGTTACCATGGGAAGAGATGGGGAAAACACAAGAACTAGCCTTTTAGCACAGAGGGCATGCTCACTAGTGTTTAGTAAGCTGTTGACTTTGTATAAAAAAGGAGGGAAAAAAAAACAGAAAAAAGAAGAAAAAAAAAAGAAAAAAGAAATTGTATATTTAATGAATGAACATGTACAATTTAACACTTGGAGGTTAATTTTATTGGGTGAGTCTGCAAGTGAATTTCACTGATGTTGATATTCATTGTGTGTAGTTTTATTTCAGTCCCCAGACTGCTTCCTTTTCTTTTGGAGCTAATGCCAGCCGCGTGTCTAGTTTTGAGTGCAGTAAAGATAGAATCAGCAATTCACACTTAATTTTACATTCTTTTCCAGTATTTTATTTTGTTTCTGTAGCCGCAGTGTACAACTCCTCTTCCTGTATATTGCCTTTTTTTGCTGGAAAATGTTGTATGTTGAATAAAATTTTCTATAAAATTTTTTTCGATGAGTGATGACATGGACATTGAAGAAGATTTCTCCTCTCCTTGGAAATAGAGTTTTGGGAAACGTTTTCATTCGTGAGATTTTGCTAAAGGTGTGGTTTTTTCCTTAAGTGTTGACAATTGTATAATCCTCATTGGTTGTTTTGGGGAAACTTTGTGGGGTTTTCTGTCTAATAGTTTTTGGGTTTTGGAGGTTTTTTTGGTGTTTTGGTTTTTTTACCTCCTAACTAGTCACATTTGAGCTTAACAAATAAAAGGTTTTCCAGGAAGGAGCCATGTACAAATGACAAATGGAAAAATTATTTTACTAGTTCATTTGTAAAGCTTGTAGTAGAGTCTTCGTGGTAGACTGGACTCTGCCTGCCTGTACAAAATTTTGTGGTCCAGATTCTCAAGTCTAATATTATAAATGGTGTAAAGTGAAATCTGGAGTCTCTAAAGGTAAGATCTCTTCATAGAGTAATAGGTTCCCTCCGTTATGTGTTCCCTGTATTCATAACCAAAACAGAAAGTGCAAGTTTTAGCTATGTTTGGTTTTCTTTTTAGTTTGTATCTTGCAGTGCTTTTTAACTGTTTCTTATTTCCAGTCAAAGCAAACTAGTTGTTTACTTTTTTTTGTCTCTGAGTGTGTAGGTTAGCGGTAGAGGGAAGTGCTTGACTGGCATGCCTTAAGTGGAGGAAGTTTTCCTTTGGTTTGTATTTCCATCAAGCTGGTGAGAATTACACCATCCAAGTGGTGGTTTTACTGGTACTTGGATTGTCTCTACAGACTTTCAGTATATGTCAGGATTTGTTTTCAGACTATTTCTGTGAAATCAGAGGCTCTGGTCAGCAGTAGTAAGCCCTAATTATATTTTGTGAATTTAGTGTTATGGTAGACTGATATAAAATTGAGCTTGTATATGAATGTCACTACATTTTCACATTAATTTATGGGATGTTGGCAGCTTTTAGGGAATATCTTAAGAAACCACAATCCTTCCTGTTTCAGAAGAAAATGCCGCTAACAAAGTAGATTTTGGGTGCCTTTTGGTTTTTAGATGACTAGATTTTATGTGCTGCAGTATTTGTGCTACTCCCACACTAGTTTGAAGAAGTCCATACTTGGAGGCATTCCATATGCAGTTTTCAATAACTGAAGGATTTTATGAAACAAAAAAAAATTTTTTTTGGAGCACAAGTAAACTTGTTATTCAAATGTGGAAACACACCTATGAAGAGAAGAGGAAGACAGGAGGTTTTCTCAGGTGCAGTATGTTTGTTTAGTTCATTCTAAAAAATTTACAAGAACACAGTCTTCAAAATTGCCATGCTTTCCATTTTCTTATTCAGATTTTGGAACTATCTGGATAATAGACAGTGAATGCATTAAATTAAGTTAATGGTAATATAAGTGTTAAGCAATAAGGATGTAATTTCATGGTACAAAGCATCAGAGCAACACGATGTTAACGGCCCATCCGAATCCTCCCTCCGCCAATAGCGAGCGTTGTTCCTGTAGATTTACATAGTGCCTTTTATCCTAAAGGAGTCCAAAGCATTCTGTGAAATCTGAGCAAATCACACCAGTGACATAGTTGCTGACTAGAGAGTGACAGCCAGCTCGAGCACCCTTTGTACCACAAGGGACAAGTCAGTGCTGCCGCAGGAGGCGTCGGAGGGCCCGGCCGATGAGCAGAGCGCGAGTGCCTCCCGCATACTGGATCTACCTCAGCCGCTGCCCCTCCGGAGCTGACGTGCCAGCAATCCCACCCCAGCACCCTGCCCCAGCATCCTGGCCCAGCATCCTGGCCCAGCATCCCGCCCGGCATCCCACCCACCGGAGCTCGGAGCAGCCCGAGGCGCCGTGCTGGCTGCAGGCGGCCGTGCCCAGAGCTGAGCTACGCCGTGGTTTTGCTATTTAATATCCTCTGTGAGAAATCGTTTTCTGTAGGAACTTGTATATATTGTAAATAAAATAGCCCGGGGTAAAACGCTGCATTGGGTGTCTCGTGCCTTCGTTTTGGAAAAGGGTTGGGAGTGACAGTGGATGGGACGCTCAGAAGTCAAGGTGATTTTGGCTGGATCAAATAGATAAGTTTTGCAAAATTCAGTGTCAGGAATGACATTCATAGTGTAGGAAGAGCTGGCCAGAAGGTAAATGCTGATTTGCACATCAATTTCCAAGTTTTGAACCCTCCTTTTTTCTCAAAGGAATGAAAACATTTGGATTTTGAGGTGGAGAGTGTTGATGTTTGGTGTGTGAGCAGTGAGGTGTCATTTATTGTTGGCTTTTAAACCCACCTGGTCTTTAGGATCAGAAAAGGGGAAAGTGTTCACATGTGATATGTCCAAATCTGGCTTCAAATCTGTGTTCAACTTCATTTCTGTCCCAGGTAACGTTGAAGTTTGCTGTGTACCAAGCACAACAGCAAATTAAATTTGCTAACCTCCAGGCTGTGCCTGGAAGCCTTTATTTTTTATTAAATACTTCTGTAAGCTATTGTACCTGTAAATAGTGGTGTAAAAATGTCCTAACTGCTGTTAAATACCTCCTGCGCATCTTAAATCATATATATATATATCATATAATTTCTTTGTATATTCATGTAGGTTTGGGGTTTGCACCCTTCCTGGTAAATGTTACCAACTTGATGTGTTATATACCACTACTTAACAGCAAAGCTTGCTGTTCACAGCCAGATTTTAAAATGAAGAAGAATCTTAACATCTTGAAAAAATGTGTGAAATGGTACAAAACCTGTTGGGCTGACATCTGCGTGGCTGCCTGTGGGGGTGATGGTTGTGGTATTATTTTCCATCAGGTCAGAGGAGGTTGGGTGACCAGAGGAGGGAGAGTTACTGACCCTTGGTACAGAGTGAAGGCCTGGGTTGAGGAGGCTGGGAGGTGCTGGGTCTGGGTGTCATGTAGGAGAGGGAAAGTAGTTGTTTAACAGTTTTTACTTATATTGATACAAGTGTGCTTTTTTCATGTCTCACGGTCTGCAGACTGGAGTTCTGTACTTGTTGAAGCAAAAAGCAGTGCACATACCCCTTCTAGTTTAGCTAAAATGTGGGACCAGCTCAGTACAGGCGGTTTGCAGTGCAGACAGTGCTGGGTGGTTTAGGATGGGGCCGGTGGGCAGTGCCATTCCAGGAGCTCATTTCTATGGCCACCTTCACACCCACAGCATCCAACACCCCTGTTGAGACCTGCCCTCACTGCGTGGAAGTGCCAGATGATGGAGGAGACAGTGGTACCCCTACCCAGTGTCCCCTGTCCCTGCCCATTGCCACTGTCTCTGTCCCCTGTTCCTGCCCAATGTCCTCTGTCCCTCCCCGCTGTTCCTGTCCATGCCCTGGTATCCCTGACTCTGCCTGGTGTCCCCTGACCTTGCCCCCGTGTCCTTGTCCCTGCCCGGTGTCCCCTTACCCTGCCCGGTGTCCCCTTACCCTGCCTGATGTCCCCTTCCCCTCACCCAGTGTCCCTGTCTCTGTCCCCTGTTCCTGCCCAGTGTCCCTTGTCCCTCCCCACTGTCCCTGTCCCTGCCCTGGTATCCCTGATTCTACCTGGTGTCCTCTGACCTTGCCCCAGTGTCCCTGTCTCTGCCCAGTGTACCTGTCCCTGCCTGGTGTCCCCTGACACTGCCTGATGTCCCTGACCCTCCCCATTGTCCCCTGTCTCTACCTGATGTTCCCTGACCCTGTCCAGTGTCCCTGACCCTGCCCAGCTTTCCTGTCTCTGCCCGGTGTTCCCTGACCCTGCCCGTTCTCCCCTTTCTCTGCCCCAGTCCCTGACCTTTCCCGGTGCCCCTGACCCTCTCCAGTGTCCCTGACCCTGTTTGGTGTCCCCTGTCCTCCCTGCCCTTGCTGGCCAGGGGTTGGTGTCGGGGGTGCCCCCAGCCCCCTGCGTGGAGGGGCTGCTGAAGGACTGACCTCTGGAACAGCTGCTGAGGGACGTGCCTGGTTCGTGGCTGAAGCTGAAAAAACAGCCAAAACACGGCGTTTGATCCAACACTGCCCTGTTAAGTTTTGGCTGAGGAAGTTTGGAGGCTAAAAAGTGCCCATTATTGCAGGCCCTGTGCCCTGAGCAGGGTAGGGGAGCAGCCCAGTGACGCTGCCACTCATCCCGCCAACATAAAAGCATTTTTGATGTTAAAACATTGAAATATGTGGGCATTTCTTCTCTTCTGTTTGTTTTTCCAGCAAGCAATAAGCAGCTGCTGCTGCTGTCAGTGTTGAGCAGGGTCTGGGCACCTCTTGTGTGTGTAGTTGGAGATATTTAATTTCACAAGAGAAGTGACTTTAGATGAGAACTGTAAAAGTTCTCTGTAAAGTCTAAAGCCTATTAAGTCCTGGTTTGGGAGATGATGCACTGCAGTGGGAACGCAGAGAGGTAGAATGAGGGCCCTGTGTTGTGGTTGTGGTGATTCTTTTCAAGCTGTGCTTGCTGATTTTTCTTCTTTATGTGTTTGCCTTTTGTATCTTGATTTGTTAATGTAAAAGGGGTGTCCCAGTGTGACCTGCTCTGGGTGCAGCAGGTCATGGAAGCAATGCAGACAGGAGATGTTTTGCCAGCATTGTTAACAATAACAGGTTTATTTTCTTACCTCGTCTATAACAGAGCAAAGACAGTCTCATAACTTAGCATTTTGTTAATAAATAATCAGCTACACTGTACCACCCACAGCCCTGCAGGAGTGGGTCCCGTAGGAAGAAGAGCAGAGAGAAATGAAATCCTGACCAGTCAGTTCCAGTGCACAGAAGGTGAGTGCTTCTCTAAAAGGTGCATGTCCAAACCTCTCGGGTACTGGTGGGTTGGCAGGTCCAGAGAAGTCTGTGTCCAGCTGAGTTGGAAGTCTGAGAGAAGGAGAGTAGTGCTGAAGTACTCAAGAGCTGGTAACTTCACAGCTCAGGGCAGCGATTCAAGTAGAGCATGAGTTCAAGAGTGACACTGTAAATTAGTCTTCAAGGCTTTTTGTTTTAAAGTCAGTCCCACCATGTGATGATAAACTGGA